GAAGACTGCACACTCAGGGACGCAGAGAGGGAGGCCCCGCTTGCTCAAGCCTGCCAACCTCTACACCAGGGTGCTCTCAATGAGGCCATTGTGCGGGACGAAATTTGAGGGTCAAGAAGCTGACTTGGGAGGCAGCCCAGTCAGGCCACGGCATAGCGAGGAAGGAGTTACACAGAGAGACCAAAGATGCAGGGGGCAGTCAGCCTCCAAAATGCAAAGGGTACCAGCTGCTAAGATGGGCGCAATCCCCCAACAAGGCCACCTACAGAAGAACCCCATTCCCAACTCCTCAGGAATGAAAGCAAACCCTGAATGCCTCCCAGGACTGGAGCAGAGAGCAAACAGGGAGATCAGGACCTGAAAAGGGTGCCCCCCCCACTCTGCAGAGGAGAAAACTGATTGGCTGACTTTCAGATTACACCCCCCATGAAAGGCCCCAGGGCAAAGGGGAGGCACACAGAGGAGCCTGGACAGTCACTAGGGCATGCAGAAGACAACACAGGACAACACAGGCCTGGGAGACCCCAGAATAGACAGACTCCAAGGGGCCCAGGTGGTTAGGGGCACCAAGTTCTGCCTAGAAGCAGTTCTGCCCGCTACTGGCACAGATGGAAAATGCTAGAATCTAAAGACTGACCCCAACGCTGAGGTGACCAAGTGGGCGTGATATTCCAGACTCCTCAGTGTGAGCCTGCCAACACACCAGCGGCCACCAACTTCCCAGACTCTTTAAACACACAGCCCAATACACAGCTAAGGATCTGGTCCCCGAAGAAGTCACTCAACTCAGAGATAAGGCTGACCTTGGGTGGGCTCAGGACAAACCCCCTGGTTCCAGCCATGGGGCCTGGAGCACCCCCAACTGGCCAGTGTAGGGCTAGGGCTGCTGGCCTGGAACCTGGCTGTCTATAACTCTGTGGCGCCCTTCCTCCCTTGCTCATAGCCCACCAGAGGGCTCTGCCCAAGGCTGCCTGAGAGCCCCTCGGAGGGGCGGGGGCTCCAGGCCCGGCAGAGTCAGGCCCGCCTCTCGGAAACCCAGCCCCAGACGCGCGCGGGACACCATTGTGTAAGCCTCCCTTTCCACTGGCTTTATTTACTCCGGAGGAGGACGCAGGACTCGGGGCCACGGCACCGGCAGTGGCAGTCACGAGGCCTCTGGAAAGTGCGCGCATGCAAGCCCAGGGCAGGGATGGCAGGCCCACCCTTAGAGGAAACAGCCCCCAAGAATCTCTGCACTTTGTAAACTCAGGACAAGAGACGAAAGTGTTGTCCTTGCGCGCTCACAGGCTCCCCCTGTCCCAAAAGGCTCTTCCCTCGCAGATGGATAAAGATGTCCCAGGCTTGGATCTGGACTATGGGATATCCCACCCTGAACCCTGAGACGCGCCGGGCTGGGATCCCCTTAGATGCATGGGGCCTGCTGGCTGATCAACTTTGGCAACCCATGCCAGCCCCGGGACTGGGCTCAGCCCCAACCCCGGAGTTGGCGTGGGGGAGGGGAGGACGGTCCACCCTGAGGAGTCAGCCGCCCACTGGATCCGAGGAGGGGAGCTAACTCCCACGCTGCTGAGAACCAAAAGAAGAAAGCCCACTCGTTTCCAGGGTGGAATTGCGCTTCCCGGTGTAGTTCCAAAGCAGTCAAGCCAGCCCTAGAGGAGGCGACAGTCGCTGGGCAAACACAAACAACAGTAAAGGAAGAACACCCCAGAGGCTACGTGAACCTCGGGTCCCGAGGGGTGCGTGGCTCCCAACTACAAGGTCTATCAACTAACAGGATCCCTTAAAGGCGCTCTCCATGTAGGCAACACAGGGTCTGGGGCGCAGAGCCCCAGGGTGAGCAATCCGGGGTCTCGCCTCTCCTGTGCTCGCCCCTGTTCCGTCCCAGGCCCGCCTGGAAGTTCCTGCCCAGTTCGCCAAGCAGTCGCTGGGTCGTGCACCCACCTTCAAAGTCTGAAATGATCCCGTCCAGCTGTGCGTTGACCGCGGGGTCGGACATGGTGGCTGGTGCGCAGGGAGTCCCGCGGAGCCCCGGCCCTGCGCGCTCCCGCTCCCAGTGCCGAGCTGGCCGCCCGAGCCCCTCGGCCCCCACGGTCGGCTGAATGAATGGGGGAGGAAGGCGGGCGCCGGCCCCTCCCCAAGCACCCGGGCCCCTGCCCCGCCCCCGCCTCCCGGCTGGATCAGGTTCCCGCACCCCGCCGGCCTCCGAGACTCCGCACTGGCTGTTGCGCCCGCCTGTCAAAACTGAGCCTGGGGGGGGTTGGAACCAGAGCAGCTTCTACAGGGAGACTTCGGAGTCCCAGGCACACGACCTGAGCTGGCCCCCCTTCTCCCTTCCTGGCGGGTGCCCAGGGGACCGCGACAGACACGGCCTCGGCCCCTCCCCCTCACGCCCCTCCGCGGCCAGATGTGGGCGGATGTGGAGGATGTGGAGGCCGGGCCACAGCAGCGGGCGGGCGCCGAGGGGGACGAGATTCCTCCCCTTCCCTGGGCGCAGTGTTCTTGCTGCCGGAGGTTTTATTTACGCAGCCAAAGTTCGTGAGCGCCTCCTTCATGTAAGAGTACGGGGGCCTGCAGGGTTAAGCGGCAGCTCTGAGCTAGTGCGTGTCCGCAGGACCCTACACTATTGACTGCAGAACTGGAGGTCCCGGGTGTCCCCCAGCATCCAATACATCGAGAACTGCTACCCCCTTGAGTCCCCGGGGGTCGCTGCTGCACCCTCTGGGTAGGTGCTGGAGAAGGCATAGGGCAGGGAGAGGCGGCCCTTCAAAGAGTCGTTCCAGCACCCCTCCCCCTTCCCACTGTAGAGGCTTCCTGAGTTCAGAGAGTGGACGGCGACCTTCCCTCCAGAAGAGAGAAACCATGGTTCCTAACATCAGAAGAAAGGAAGAGGGCTGCTCCTGGGCCCTCTCCTCACCAGCGGGTACCCACAGTTTGGTCTCTCTCTGTCCCCATGTAGCTTTCACACTTCGGGCATCACTGGGCAGTCAGATAAAACCATGGGTTAGACACAGAAGCAAGACACCAGTTACCAGGAAAGGTCGCCAGGGAGGCCGGGGTGTTTCTCTGCTTCCCGACTGAGACAACAAGTTTCCCCGTCCACTGTCCAGGCGCTACCTTAGACCCAGGACCCCTGTGCAACCAGGGCTCCAGATGCATAGCAGGGGATAAGTACTTGCCAAGTGGGTGGATAGCCCATCCCCTGGTCCTCAGTGGTGACATGTGAGTCCCTGAGCTGTCCTGGGTCTGCTCTCCCCCTACTCCGTCATTCTAACCCTGTGGTAATGGGGTGGAGTGGGTGCTGACACCTTCGGAGGCTGCGGAGGTCTCTGTAGGAGAGGCGAACACTAAGCTAGGTTTGGTGAATTTTGCTTTTTTTTTTTTTAACTGCTGGAGTAGAGTCCTTCCTTTTTCAGAAAATTCACCCCTCCCTCCCTCATGCCTCAGATGGTTTAAACTATTTTCAACCAAGTGAGCTTTGTGGACATAGGAACTGCAAAACCACGGCCATTTTAGATGCGCGCGCACGCACGCACACACCCCTGATGGCTACTGTCTACACCTGGGCCTGCCTGGCAGTCTGACCATCATCGGATCACCTGTCTGTCCTCAGTTTAGGGATACTGGCGTTCAGTTAAGAAGTTAAGGCCCATACCACAGAGCCCTGGGAAGACGCCGGGTCCCTGGGACAGCATCCAACTTGGGCGGGCCTCGTTCGCTGGTGTTTTTTATAAAAAGCACCTGGTAAGTGGAGACACGCCCGTGCGATTGTTCTCCCCAGGGCAAGCACAGATTAACAGAGGCTAAGCTCATTGTTGCTCAGCCTCTGTAACCATGCGTGGAGGCCAGGCACAGCACAGTGTTCCAAGAGAGCCCAGTCGGGGTGCAGGCTTCACGGAGTGCGCCCCTCAGGGACCCCTGAGGACTTCCACAGGCTGCAGGATTCAGGCAACCCTGCCCTCTGTTTCCTACCCCTTCGCTGTAACCACTCAGCCCAAATATCAGACCTGGGAACCCGCTAGAAGCCAAAGCTCAGGAAAGCCAAGGCAGGTTTGGCTACCCTCCCAATAGGAAGTTCACCCTTGTGTCTCTTTCCTTTCTGTCCCCAGAGGACATGGGAAACAGCAAGCCACCTCCCTCCTCACCATAATAATCTTCTCCAAACTCCAGGACAGCCCAAATGCAGCTTGGCTTCGCTCAGCTTGAACCCCACCCCCACCGCTTTCATCGCCCGACTGTCCCCTCGACAGCATGCTTGGCAGTGGCACCTGGGGGTTTCATAAGTCTGGTTGGCCACCCAGGCCCCTCTCTAGGGTCTTGGGCTGTATAAAGGGACTGAGCTGTAGACTTGAGACTTCTGCAATCCAGGCCGCAAGAGGAGGCCTAACCTAAGGGATGCTGTGCTCCGAGTGAAATGCACCGAAAGGCCCCGCCCACTCGTGGGCGTGCCCCATGCGCCCGTCCGCCCCAAAGACAACGCGTGACTACTGGATGCTCAGAATGTGACCAGACACAGCCCAAGGGTCTGTGCGGATGTGCGCTACAGGTGAGGCACATCCCAGAGGCTACTCAGGATCAGCATGTGTCCCGGATTCAAAGACCGGATCAAAGATAGGGAGGAAGGCAGAGAGACAGAGGCCTCTCGAGTCGGAAGCAGAGAGGGGGCAGCCATAGGCCAAGATTCACCCGGAAGCCGCGTGGCACACGGCCCTGCAGACTATGTGGCATGCTGGCCCTGGAGGGAACGACTTTACTGCGGTTCCGAGAAGCCAGCCGGTGCACGCACGGCAGGCAGTGAGTACAGCCAGGCCTGAACTCACACCTGACCCATTAGGTCAGGAAGTCCCGTGACAAAGACCTGGAGGGAGCCACCTGGTGCAGGTGGTGGGCTGGGCTGGCCAGGCAGCTCCGTCTGGGGGGCGGGGCTAGGAACAAGAGTCTGTGGACTTGCACAGATGGAAGAACCGTCAGGCCTTTTTACTTTAATGTCCCTTTTTTTTTTTTTTGGAGGGGTGGGAGGAAGGGGTGTGGTTAGAAGCCCACAGGTCCAGCCTGGGGAATGGGGCACACAAAGCCTGGGAAAGGGCGCAGGAAGGGCTTGCGGAAACAACCCGCTTGGCGTCCACGCCAGGATCCCTGACCCCCGGGCCCAGGTACAGCCTCAGCCGGAAGCGGCTCAGCAGTGGGGGTGGCCTCCTCGGGGAGGTCGTGGCTCCCTGCCCAGCACTGCTGTTGTGCCTTTGGACAGGATGCTCCTCCAGTCAGTGGGTGACAGGACCGGCCTCCTCATAGTCCGAGACTGCTCAAGGGTAGAGTCCACGAGGCTCATCTCCGTGTCTGCCTGTCACACTGCAGGGGTAGAGCAAGTGGACTTTAGGGCCTTCCGCGGCCCCTCAGCTGTAGGCGGCACCATCTTGGCAAAATGAAGCCATTGCGGCCTGCCTAGGTGCCCAAGCCAAAGATCTCCAAGTCCTCTTGAATTCTTCTTTCATCCTCAATATCATTTTTTTTCCATCCTCAATATCATAATGGCTGGCCAGGGTACCCCGAGATCATCTGGGACCAGGATAAGCATCCTTCACTAGTGTCTATCTGGATGCTATTTAACAATGGCAATATTAAGGGTTTAAAAAAATAGCATTTGCAGGACCTGAAGCATTTGCTTACACGACACGAGTTCCCATCTTGGCTAGTTCCAAGCCGCCAGTGTGACATCTTAGCCAAAGCCAGGAACATGGCGCTTCTCTCCCCACAGGTGCAAACAGCCGCCTGGGACATGACTCGGGAGTGGAGCTGGAGTTAAAGGGAGTCCCACCTAAATTACTTCAAGTAATTTATTTATTTAAATGATGTTTATTAATTCTGTGGGGATGTGTATACACATGTGTCACACATGAGTATGGGGGATCAGAGGGCAACTCGTGGGAGTCAGTTCCATCCTCAACCATGTAGGCTTTGGGGACCAAGCCCAGATCCTGAGGCTCGGGAGCAAGCGCCTTTAAGGCGGAGTCATCTCCCTGGCCCTGCGTAATCAGTTCCACTAACTAAGTAATGCACTTTTTTCCCTACTCGCTTATTCTGGTTTGTTTTTTGGGGTTTTTGTTTGTTTGTTTTGTTTTTTTAGACAGGGCCTCATCGCTCAGCACAGGTTAGCCTGGAACTCACAGGCTGTCCTCAGACTGTGACCATCATCTCAATGTATGAGCATACCAGTTCTCTCACCACTCAGTAAACACCGGCGTTGCCTCAGTGAACATGGAGATGAGCACGTGTTGGCCCCACCCCAGTTCTTTGGGGACAGACTCAAGAATAATGTGACAATTCTATATCGTTTAATTTAAAACGACGACTCACACATTTTATTGTCCTGTAAACTTATTTTATGTGCAAGTGTGTATGCCCGCAAGTATGTCTGTGCACTGTGTGCCTGCAGGAGCCCACGGAGGTCAGAAGAGGGCATCAGACCCCCTGGAACTGGAGTTCCGAACCCAGGTCCTCTGCAGAAGCAGCAAGAACTCTTAGCCACTGAGCCCTCTCTCCAGCTCCTGTAATCTATTGCCAACTCGAAATCTCCTCCAGTTCATATATGACTTTGTATCTAATTTTACACTGTGCCGCCCCGCCCTCTCCCATGCTCCCCCAGGCTCCTGACTGGCACCACTTTGACGTGCCCTCCCCTCCTCCAGGCTCCCATTGCCACCCAAGCTTAGACTGGATGCCTCACGTGCACTGTACGAGAACCCCTCACCACATCCGCCAGCAGACCTGGCCTCGTCCACTCTCTAAGTCCACTGGCCTCCCCTCCGTTCTCACGCTGCCTCCTGTGCCAGGAGGCCTACAACAGTCACCTCCTCCACATGGACGGACGTCTCCCCGCAACTCTTCCCTGCGGTGTCTGTCATTTCAGTCTTTGACCACAGAATGGCCATCTGCAGTCTCCACCCACCCACCCAGACCTCAGACACAGTTGCTCCCTCACCTCCAGACACACCACCAGGACTCCCTGGTTGGGGCTCAGTCCCACCGAGTTACAATGCCCAGTTTTCTTTGCTGGATGACAGCAATCTCCTGGACTCCTGATGGAGGAACTGGTCCACACGGGCACTAAGGACAAGGGACACTTATGCAGACTTCGCACACCACACTCAACTGCCCTGGTCTAGAAGAAGCAGGACCACAGCCAGAGTGCTGCTTGAACCTGGACCACGCTGGGGCCCTTTCTGCCGGGGCAGTCTCCAAGCTTGGACCACCGAGTCTCCTGCAGGCTGCAACTCTGAATCTCTCCGTGAGGCAGCCCCAAGGTAGGCACAGCTGACAAGTGTGTGCAGGCCACAAAGCCCATCCCACCATCTGCTCAAGACATAAGGCTTCCCTTCATAGATACACATGACTAATCTTCCTTAATTTCACAGTCCCCAGCTGGGCCTGCCTCATGTTAAGTGTTTACAAAAAAGCCTGACCACAGTGCCTGGGCGCTTATCTCCTAGCCAGGGGCTTTTTAAACAAAATACTCATTCCTCTTGCAAGTCTTCTAAATGCAGGCTCTTGAGTCATCCCAGAGGCTCCTGGCCTCAGAGGCCAGCAAATGCTCTGCTCTAGGCTCAAAAACCTCCCCTACCCCATGTCCCTGAGGGCAGCCCCACCATCTCCAGTGCACAGCATACAGAACCCCACATTCCCAACGCTAACCGGACCAAAACCTTCAACACTGCCTGGCCTGCTCACTTCCAGTCTCCCTTGTAAATCTGAGGGAGTTTTTTTGTTTGTTTTGTTTGTTTGTTTTCAAAGTAGCCCAGGCTAGCCTTGAAATCTTGATCTTCTTGCTAACCCTCGTGTTATCACAGGCTAACCTTGTGTTGGGATTACAAACGTGTGCTACCATGCCTAGCTTACCTGACAGGAAAAAAAATGGCAAGTTAAAAAGCCATGAAACCCATAGGACCCTGGGAGCAAGAATAGAAGGCCCTTCCGAGAGGTCCCCCTATCCGGTGGAGCCTTGGCCCCTGAGTTCTGAGCATGGGCTTCTCTGATAGTTTGCCCCGTGAGTATTGATGGCGAGTTCAGTCATCCAGGATGCTAGAGCTGGCTGGGTGAGTTATGTCCATGCCCTTTTTTCCATGCCTTAGGCATCCTTCTGTGATCGACTGTTTAGCCCCCACAATCCTACAATCCCAGAAAGCCTTGGAATGGACTAATGTCCCCAGTGTCCTAGCTCCCCATCGCATGCTGGAAACACAGCATCCTTACCCCCATCTGAGGCTGGAGATGCAGAGATAGGGGAGAGGGCCCAAGGAATGGACAGACACACAGCCTGGGACTGTCCTGGGCTCTGCAAAGGCACACGAGGGATGCCTAGGCTGGCCCTTCGTCTCCGGACAGTAAGCAATGGAGCTATCCAGCTTGCCCCTTGGCCTTGCCAGCTGCAGACACCTCACCCTGCACTGCCAGGACTCCTGGCATCTCCATACCCATCTCCATCAGGGTAGGACAGGCTGTTCCCAGGGGCCTGCCGTGTTCTGACCTCCCCACTACCAAGCACCCTGGCTCTGTGGGGTCTGAGGCCGGAGGCATCTTGCCACCGCTGCAGTGTGGGGACCAGGGCTGAGTCACCAGCCTGCCCTACTTCCACGTCGGCATGGGCACAGTTACCCAGTGATGCCATCCCCGGGGAGCATCCTCCCACCCCTCCCCCACCTATGCCTGTAGCCTGGGACCCTAACAATGCCCCTGCCAGCCCCAAGGTGGGGCCCCCACAGGCAGATAGAGAGATGGCTTAGGCAGCAGCAGGGACCAACCCGGAAAGGACAGAGAACAGAAACCCTTCCTCACTCTTCTGCACCTCACAGAGGGACCGCAAGGCTTACCTGCCCCTCACAATTCTGCTGCACTCGCCCCCCCCACACACCTGCCCCGACCACCGCCCACTCTCCCCACCTGCCCCCCCCCCCCGACTGCCATCCACTCTACTCTAGAACACTCCCAGAGACAGAAGTCTTAATAAGCAGCAATGCTGCTCGTGCCGCTTTTGGATGCTCTTGGTCTTTAAAAAAAGAAACACCCTCTGGCTACAGCAGCACAGGCCTATAATCCCAGCGCTCAGGCATCAGGGGCAGGAGGGTGAGGAGTTCAGGGTCAGACTGGTGGCGGCACTGCATCTGCTGAGCAGACTGAGACTCTAGGCTTGCATAGTGCAGCCCTGGGTTCAAAGCCCAGCGTTCTGCAAACTGAGCACTGTGATGGAACTCTGTAATCCCAGTACTTGGGAGGTGGAGGCAGGGGGATCAGAGGTTCAAGGTCAGCCTCAGCCACTTAGCGGTTTGGGCTCCATGGGACCCTGTCTCAGAAAAAGGGAGGAAGGGAGGGAGGGAGGGAGGGAGGAGGCAGGGAGGAGGAGGAGGGAGGAAGGGAAGGAGGGAGGGAGGGGGAAGTAGGGAGGGATGGAGGGAGGGAGGAGTAGGGAGGGAGAGAGGAGGGAGGAAGGGGGGAAGGAGGGAGGGGGAGGAGGAGTAGGGAGCACTCAGCATGAGTTCTCACTCACCTCCTTGAAGTCTGCTTCCCTGCAGCTGTGGCCACCTGAAGGACCCCCCCTCAGGGAGAAACACAGATGGGAAGGACAAGTATGTGGGGGGGGGATTATAGAGAGAAGTAAGACAGAGAGGGGGCGTCAGGCTGACTGGTGCTGTCACCCACAGAACTGGAAGTCCACTCCGCTCTTTGCAGAACAGCTAGAAGGGAGGGAGCAGGACCTTGCATTGCTGGAAGCTCATCCTGGGGCTCTGGATTTGAGCGTGTCAGCCCCCCAGTCAGGGTAGGTAAGAGGTGCCCGCGGCAAGGGGCCTGTAGGAACTTGGATGCTTTCCTATCCACTCACAGGAGGTGCCAAGTCAGTCTGGGAAGCCTAAGGGAAGGAGGGTCTTCGCTGCTGAGGGGCTGGCATCCCAACTGCCGGTGTCCATGAGGAAACGGCCTGGGCCCTGGAGTCTGCACCACACAGCCTCGAAGACCTCCTGAGAGCAGGGGGTGGACATGGTGGCTCTCCCAGACACATCTGGACTCGGTTTCTACCTTGCCCAGTGTAAGTGTGATGGTGAATCCCAGGTGTCTGCTTGATGGGAGAAGAACCTCCAGGAATGTCCCTCGGATTATCTTGATTTGATTGAGCTGGGAAGACCGGCCCACTGTGGGTGGCACCATTCCCTAGGATGGGGTCCTGAAACTGTATAAAGGAGGAAGTGGGCTGCTGTGGTGCCTCCAAGCCCAGTGGCCTGAGTGTAACCCCAAGGACCCACATGGTAGAGGGAGAGAAGGGACTCGGCAACTTGTCCCCTGACCGACACGTGTGAAATGGCATGTACATGCCGTCCACACGCTACATTAATTAATTAATTAATTAATTAATTAGTTAATTAATTAAAATACCAAAAAAGGAGAAAGGTGGGCTGAGCACATGTATCTAGTGTTCTTTGTTTGGCTTTGGTACAGTGTGACCGGCTGCCCTGAGCTCCGGCTGCCCAGAGCTCCTTACCATGAAGGACTGTCCCCTTGAACTGTGACCCTAAATGTTAGGTATTTTATCACAGCAACAAAAGTAACTCAGAAAGCCAGTGAGCTGGGAACCAGAATATTCTAGGGCTTTTCCCAAAGGGCAGGGCCAGACCCAGGGTGTTGGAGGCCCCTTAACTCTGCCCACCGGCTCCGAAAGGCTTTGGAGGAGATGCGTGAAAAATCAGAGGCATCCGAGCAACCGGAGTCCCTCTCGCTCCCTGCCACCAAACACGGGTGTTTCCTGCTACGAATCACACCCCAGACGCCCACAGTGATTCTGTGTGAGAGTGTGGCAGCCGGTTTAGGCCAGCCTCCCTCAGACAGGCAGCCCAGGTCCCTGACCCGCCTGGGAAACAGGATGGGGAGGAAGGGGAGCAGCGGGCGGGGCCCGGGGTAATGGGGAGCAGCGGGCGGGGCCCGGGGTAATCTGGGGCTGCTTTCTCTGGTTGGCTGTGCCTTTCTTGTCCTGAGTGCCACTGGAGGCCCCAGGCAGCCTAAATGAGCCATTTGTCCCTGATGTGGAACGACTAACGAGTTTGCTGCTAACATGCCCAGCTCCTGCTCCGTCCCTGTTCCCCAGAGTGAGTCACAGCCAGATGACTGCAGACCCAGGGACCTTGCCAGAGGCCCTGCCAGCTCTGCCAAGCAGTCTGAGTGGAGCGAGACCAACACAGATGGCAAAGAACCAGACCCACGACCTGGGAGCCCATGGCACTGCTGCTGCTCTATACCTGGGGTCCTCCATATTTGGGGGCATGCTCCTCCCTGGCTCGGCAAGACCAAGCAGGGAGCAGACAGTGTCACTGGAGACTTGTACAATAGAGAGCTGAAAAAATGGCCTAGCAGGTGACAGACCAGTAGGAAACAAGACAGCCATGGCCTCTGGGGGTCATTCACCACTGTCACACTTTAGGGTCCAAGTCCCTGGGATGACACCAGCTCAGACAGGCTTCAGAGCTTTGTTAATTGATAGTAAGTACTGTCAGGACATTGAGTAGATCAAGGGACTCCAAGGGACTGACAGCCCCTCTGGCTTCTATGGGTGCACAACACACACACACACACACACACACACACACACACACACACACACACACACTTGGAGAGAGATGTGAATAAATCTTTTTAAAAAATAACATAAGGGGCCGGGTGTTGGTGGCGCACGCCTTCAATCCCAGCACTCGGGAGGCAGAGGCAGGCGGATCTCTGTGAGTTCGAGGCCAGGCTGGACCGACAGCCTCCAAAACAGAGAAACCCTGTCTCGTAAAACCAAAAAAAATAAATAAATAAATAACATAAGGGACTGGAGAGATGGCTCAATGGTTAAGAGCACTGGCTGCTCTTGTAGAGGACCCGGGTTCAGGTCTCAGGACTCACAAGGCTGCTCACAACAGCCTGTCACTCCATTTCCAGAGGATCTGACACCCTCTTCTGGCCTCTGTAGGTATTGCACACAGGTGATGCATATACATACATGCAGGCAGAACATATAAAATAAAAATGTATCTTTTGGTTTTTGGTTGTTTTTTTTTTTTTTGAGACAGGGTTTCTCTGCACAACCCAGGCTGTCCTGTAACTTTCTCTGCAGACCAAGAATATGCTTATCTCTGCCTCCCAAATGTTAGGATTAAAGGCATGTGCCACCACATTCCGGCTTAAATCTTTTTTTTTTTTAAGCACCGTCACTGTCCCTGTCCATCCATCCATCCCCCAAAACCCTTCACCCCTACCCTCTTACTTTAGGCTCCAGGCTTCCAAGCTGATGGTGGGAGGGCCTTCCTAAAACGCCGGCTGTCTGGGTTGATAAAGGTCCCTCAGGGTCAGGAGCTCAGGGTCAGGAGCTCAGGGCTACAAACAGACCCCAGAGGAACCCCAGGCACTCAAAGATTCATTTCCCACAGGTCAAAATGAGAGCGCTCCAGCCGGGCACCACCAGGTGTGAGCACCCCTACCCACCAGGTGAGCACCCCCACAAACACACCCACAGATGACCCAATCTAGACGGTCCCTCACTGAGACTGTCTTTCCCAGGGGATTCTGGATTGTGTCGAGGTGACGGTTAGAACCACCCACCACATTTAGTCCCTTACTGCACAGACCCTAGGCAGGGCCTGACCAGGGGAGGCAAGAAGCCAGGAGTGAAATTGGCCTTGACTTCAGTCGGTCCTGCCAGCCAGATGGGCCACTCTCTGAGACATTCCTCACCTTCAGGAGCAGGGCGGGGACATTCCCAGACAGGGCCATGTCTACATTGGGTCTATGCTGACTGCACGGGCCACAGAGCCTGAGTCCTAGTGTCTCGGCACGGCCCCAGGCTGCCGTCTTGACCCCGTGAGTGCACGGCTAGGTGGGCCATAACCGAAGAACAGGAAGTCAGATCGGCTTGACCACGACCCCTCAAGGTCAGGAGCGCAGGACTGCACACAGCCCCAAGGGGAACCTTGGGCACTTGGGGCATCACTTCCCAAGATGTCAAAATACTGCTCCAAGTCCAGAGAGCCAGCATGTGAGCACCCCCCCACCCACCTACCCGAAACAGGGAGAAAGAAGCAACGAAACGCGCACTGAATATAAGGCCTCCCTGGCCATCAGCAGGGCCCATGGAGACAGAGGTCTGACCACTTGCTTATGAATAATCTAGAATATGCATCTAGGAAAAAGCTCTGCATTGTCCTACTGAAACCCAAGATGGTCAAGCCTACGTCTGCAGACACTTCTGCAGAACTGTGTCATTTCCATGACACCCACTCCCCACCCCCCCATCAGCTGAGCTGCAGCTACCCCGACAGCACACCGCAGCCGCCACAGCCCTTCCACAGCTAGCCTGGTCACCTGCCCACTGCAAGTCCCCCTACCCCCCCGACTGCCACCACCCTGCACACACGAAGGGAGCCTTGGTGCACATGGCGGACCCTTGTCTGCCCAACTTTTTCTGTAGCTCCAGAAGCACTCACTGCCTGTGGCTGGCCAGCTAAACAGGACATTTCTCAAACACCCTGGCTGCATGGGATGGTCAAAACCAACGGAGGAGGACAAGAAAAGTTAAAGTCCCGAATTTTCTCAAGCCACACTCTTAAAATGGAAAAGCACCGTTCGATCCTGTCTTCCTTCCTCTCCCTGGCCAGAATGCAGCCACACTAGGTCCTGGATGCCCTGGGCTACCAAGCAAAGGCTTTCGCCTGGACTAGGACTTGAGAAGAAAGCACCGTGTCTTGCTCAAGTATCTGTCATTTTAGTTTATTATCATCGTCGTCGTCATCACTAGCAGTAGTAGTATTCACAGTCAGAGGGTCCCCTGACTGACACAGTATGGCGCCACCACCCCACCCAGGCCGGGAGCTGCTCAAGGACAAGGTGGAGGTCTTGAGCATCGAGCAATGTTGGCACAGGAAACAGCAAAAGGAGAGCCATGTGCATCCAAGGCATGACTGGTCATTCCACGACTTGTCTTTTCAGAAACAGCGGCCTCGGAGTAGCAGAGAGCCCAAAGCGACAAACACACGTGTGCCCGAATGCAGTAAGGGATGACATACAGATCATGAGAGAGGTAGGCAAGGTCAGACGGGAGCTTGGCAGGAAGGAGACAGGCGCTTCGGGGAGGACGCATGCCCCAGCATGAGGCGGGTGCTAAGGTCTGAGCCTGGCATCAGACCCCATCCATGAGGCACTGGGGTCTTCCCACACTGCCACTGACTGACCCAGACGCCCAGGCAAGGACACCTAGCTTGAAGGGGTCGGTGACAGCACGCTTTTGGACGTGGTTGTTTTTGGATCCGCAGCAGATGGCTGACCCTTTCTGAGCCAGGTAAGGAGATTTGCCAAGGATGGTGGGCGGGGTCTGGTGGATTGAAACCGGGTCCTAACACCATGTGTGTTCTCTGACTGCAGAAGTTGGCCTGGTGGGCATATGGAGTGAGCAGCAGTGGGAAGTTTGGCAGGGACTCCAGAAGGGAACAGGAACACAAGCTAGCGCAGGATGCATGGCCAGGCACATCTGCCATCCCAGCTCTCAGAAGGCAGAGGCAGGAGGATGGCTGCCAGTCTGAGGCTTCATGGTAAGTTCCAGGGCATCCCAGGCTACAGAGCGAGACTAGGCCGTGGTTCTGGTGTGAAATGTCTCCCATAGGTTCACGTGCTCCAACGGTTGGTCCCACATAGCAGCACTGTTTGGGAAGGCTGTGGAGTCCTTAGGGGGTAGAGTCTTGTTAGCGGACGTACGTCATTGGAGGCGGGACTTGAGGTTTATAGCTGTGCCTACTTCCTGTTCTCTCCCTGCTCCCTGACCCTTAGTACAAGGTGGGGCTCTTGCTCCTATCACTGTGACTTCTCTGGAACCCCAAACCAAAATAGACCCTTCCTCCCTTTTCCGGGATATTTTGTCGCAGAAAAGTAAGTAACACACCCTGACTTTAGCTAGTGTGGCTTTGCAGGCAGACGGCGGACAGAGAGGGGCGCAAAGCGAATGAATGCAGTCTGGGTCTAGCGCTGAGCAACGGGGCCACAGTGATTTCAGCTCTGTCACACTCAGCGCAGGTAACAGGGAGCCACTGGAGACGTCTTCGCCAGGGTAGGCACAGCCATGGAGCGTGTGTCAGCACGGCAGCCCAGCCACAGGGGAGCCTCCTCTTTCTTCCTAGGACTCTAAGGACAGAGATCTCTGCTTCCTCCCTGCCTGATCCAGATGACTCTCTTCAGGCGGTGTGAGCCAGCTCACTGTCCCGCCCTGCGCTCAGAGCGTAACATGCATACATGTCAGGGGATGCATCAGCTCCTTCCCGGACATACGGGAGAAGGCCCCCAGCCCACCTTGGCACCCGGTTGACTTCCGGTATATCTGACTGGCCTGTCTGGAGGGGCCACCATCCAGGAGCCCACAAGACAGGAAGCCATCCTGGCCTCAGCCCCTACTTACAGAACCAGCATGGAGCCAGAATGGTATCAAGGGGCATTTGGGGGGGGGCAAGGGGGAGGAAGTAGTCTCAGCAGGAATATAAGGAGTGACATAGGGCAAAATATAAATAAGAGAGAGCAGAACAACCCCTTTCTGAGGGCCTACTGTGCCTCCCAAGGCCTTACTTTGCCTCCTGGTCCCCAGGAACTCCCCCACGTGTCACCTGGTTTAGCAGGTGGCCTGTTACACGCCGCCGCCACCAAGTGGCTGCAAAGCAGCTGCCCCATGCCCCCCTTCCTCAGGGAGGAGTACAGGTTCCCTAACAGTGGGTAGCAGCACTGGGTCTGCATCCACACACCCTATCTCCCACGGCCACCCCTGCTGGGTCTCTAGAGGTGACAGTGGGACAAGAGGCTTCACACAGAATTCAGGGAGGCACACAGAATCCCACCAAACACCAGGGCTGGCTTGTATTAGAGAAACCGGTGAAGTTGAGACAGAACTCTACCAGCAAGCTACATCCTCATCCCATGGAGTTCGGGTAGTTCGTTGGGGTTGTTTGTTCAGTTGGTTGGTCGGGATAATAGATACTTCATGGTTTCCCTCAAAGACGGCAACTCGGGGCTGGACCACAGGAGTAGAGCCAAAGATATTTCTAGCCCTCCCGGGCCTGCACAGCCTGTCCCCAGTCCCTTGTCCAGAAGGCCTTTCTGGAGTGGTATGGGGCCAAGAGTCTCACCCACAGGTAAGAGGCCCATGGGACACACAGATTCAGATCCCTTCCTGGGGTCTTTGCACGCAGCTCTGTGGCAGAGATGAACGCTGCAGCAGCCATCAGGCGCCACCAGCGAGTGTTGGCCAACATGCTGGAGGAGGAGTTCAGCACAGCCCACCCCAGGGAGGGACATCTGAACGGATGCTCTGCGCGCGCGCGCGCATGTGGCGGCTCTGTGCACGTGTGGCTGGCCATCACTGACACGGCATGCCAGGGAATTGGAAGCACAAGTCCACCAGCAGCAGGGCGAGTGCTGGTCATCTCCAGCTGCTCCCCTGACGTCACACAGAGTCAGCATCCAGGGAAGGACAAAGGACCCCTGTCTTCACAGCCAGACACACCAAGAGGGAGTCTGGACCACAGGATCTGGTCAGGCAGATTGGACGAAGCCATCAGGGGCTTGGGAAGCATAGGTGTTTTCTCGAGCAAATACAACGAGCAAAGCATGACCAGTTATGCAGATAACTGCCTCAAACAAACACCTTGAAGGCTGTGGGTGGAACTCAGCTGGTAGAGGGTTTGCCCAGCATACATGGAACTGGGCACAACGGTGCATACCTCTAATCCCAGCAACCAGCAAGAGACACAGAAGGTCAGTGTCATGGGAGTTCAAGGCCAGCCTGACCTACATGAGACTAGGAGAGGGGGAGAGAGGGAGGCAGGGAGGCAGGGAGGGAGGGAGGGGATAAGGCTTACTGGTTTGGGTGAGCATGGTGCCCCACCTCTGAAACCCCAAGACTCCACAACAGGGTAACTGTTAAGAATTCTAGTCCAGAGCCGGGCGTTGGTGGCGCACGCCTTTAATCCCAGCACTCAGGAGGCAGAGGCAGGTGGATCTCTGTGAGTTCGAGGCCAGCCTGGTCTACAGAGCAAGTTCCAGGAGAGCCTCCAAAGCCACAGAGAAACCCTGTCTTGAAAAACCAAAAAAAAAAAAAAAAGAATTCTAGTCCAGCCTGTGCTTACAGAGACCTTGTCTCAAAACAAACAAACAAACAAACAAAGTAAGTTAAAATCACAAAACTCAGCCGGGCAGTGGTGGTGCACACATTTAATCCCAGCACTCGGGAGGCAGAGGCAGGCGGATCTCTGTGAGTTTGAGGCTGGGCTGTACCGACAGCCTCAAAAACAATACAGAGAAATCCTGTCTCGTAAAAAAAAAAAATCACAAAACTCTATCTTGATCCCTTTCAGGCCATGGAAGGGTCTCACATTTGAAGGTGCTCAGAGCAGGGTGGGAATCTTGGCTGCTGTCAAGACATCCAAGGAGGAGAAATGAACTGCTCAAGGATCACTTCCTCCCCTGACAGCTGCAGAGAGCTGCACCTCCCCCGCCAACCCACAGACCATGAGCAGCATGGTGTCACATCGGCCAGGGCTGTAGAGGCTGGGCACGAACCCAACCACCGTGTACGGGCTCATCCAGCCTCCGGCTAGAAAGGGGCTCTGTGTACGGGCTCATCCAGCCTCCAGCTAGAAAGGGGCTCCAACCCCAGCAGAAGCTTTGGGGAAACAAATTCCCTAGACACTGAGTCTAAAACAAAGGGCCAAGGTTTCTAGGGCCTTCCTTGATGCCTTTTAGCTTCACACCAGAGAGAAAGGTAGCAGCTGTGGGATGAGGGAAAGACAGGTAGGCAGGCCTTGGGCAAGTCCCCTGGCTCCGCGATACTTCCGTTTTCTCGTCTATAGGAAGCGGGTGGGTGCTCTCTCCTATACCTGCAAAGCGCCGAGAACGACGCTGGCCCAAGAGGTTGGGGGACCTGAGCCTGGACAGCTGGGTCGCCAGGCTCACGGCCGAGTGCACATGTGGATGTGCACACGTGTGCTCTTAACGCATGTTAGGCCACCTGCTCACACCCTCCCAGGACCTGTTAGGTATTTAATTTCCAAGTCTGGCCTCAGACTGAATGGAGCTGAGGTTCTGTTCCCATAGGAACGAGGACGGCAGGCTTCCCGCCACCCAGGCAGCTGGAAGGAAAGAGCAGGGAGATGGATAACAGGACAGAGCCTGGTGACGCTTGAGGGGCTGGGCGGTGAGCCCCACCTCACACACAGCTCCTTCAGTACCGGGACACTCGGCGATTCAAACCCTCACAAGCTAAGAGCCCATCGTCTTGACATCCGCTCTGAGGCCCCGCCTTCTCACCATCCACAGTGTCCACACAGCCCTTCCTCCACACCCCAAGGCACCAGTAACACAACCTATCCCATGGATGTTAAGTGGAAATGGAGAGAAAAACCATGTTTCCACGCTTTCTAGAAAGTTCCAAATATCCAGGACTGCTTTGTTGTTTGGGGGAGTTCAAAGGTGCACTCTCTGCCAGGCAAGGTGACCTCCAGTCCTGTGGCAATGGTGACTGCAGCTCCTTAGTGTCCTTCAGCACCCTGTTTCTGCAGCCGCCTCAGCCCACGACCCCAGTAGAACCCCGCCCCACACACTCTCAAGTCTGTGACCATAGAGTCCTTCCTGGGCCCCGCCAGCCCAACAATCTTAGGACTGAACAGCTATGAAGGAGGATCATGACCCCTCCAAAAGGTACCAGGGAGTTCAGACTTGAACCCCGAATACCCGTGTCTGTGACCTGATTCGGGAAATAGAGAATCTGTAGACATCATGGAGTTAAAAACGAGGGTGGGATGGAGTGGGTGGGCCTGATCTAACAACCAGAGGAGACAAGAGGGCAACACACAGGCCCAGATACACACACACACACACACAGACACACAGATACACACACACAGACACACAGATACACACACACAGACACACAGATACACACACACACAGATACACACAGACACACACACAGAGACACACACACACAGATACACACAGACACACACACACAGACACACACACACAGATACACACTCATACACAGATCGACACATACCAACACATACACATATAGGCATGATTCACACAAACATACAGACCTACATACATAAGACACACATGCACATAGTCTGTTTCTCTCTTACACACATATACACACACTAGATCAAACAGAAGAGGAACAGAAGTCATACAGCCACAGGCCAAGGGATGCCAAGAATTCCTGGCCACCGCCCCAAGCTGCATCCCCAGAGCCTCCAGGAGTAGTCAGCTCTGCCCACACCTTCCTTTCAGGCTCTGTCCCCAGGATGCTCACAAGACAACCCTGATCATTTAGGCAGTGCTTTGTAGCCCAGTACCTGGCAGTCCCCCCCCCGCAAACCCTGCCTCCCCAGTTTGTCTCATGTGGCTAAGGTCACACGCTCGTCACTCTGGTCAGCAAAATTTGGGGATTTTCCTACGTCCCAACCTACAGCAGCTGGCCACTTGTGCACCTGGGCCCCACATGACCACCCCAACACTCACAGGGCCACTCGGCTCCCTTCCCTGTACTCCAAGGCATTCTGGGGACCCAGGGTGGATCAAAGCCTGCGGGGGTTTTGCTTTCACTGTGTGGTGTCATTTGTTTGAGGCAGGACCTCAGTCTGCAGCCAGGGAGCCTCCCGCCTAAGTCCACTAAGGGCCGGAGAGCAAGAGGCTTAGCTCAGAAGCTGTGTTTTAGTTAACAGGTTCCCTAAGGTTCCTGCGCCAGCTGCGAGGTTGGCTATGCTGCTGACCAACCCTTCCTGGCATGGAACCTTCTAGGCTCTGATCTTGGCTGAAACTCCAGGGGCAGGACTGAAGGCCGTCTCTGAGATCAGCCTTCCCACGGCCCACAGCTCACAGAGAAGAGGGCACCCTGGCATTCAGCATGATGACGCCTCCTGGGGATACGTCTGTGTCCCCCAAGCCCTTCAAAGACAGTGGCGAGTCCCTGAACTGTCCCACACAACTCTCTCTTGGAATTGAAGCTGCCCTTCCCCACCCCCAAGCTCTGTTGCTGTGAACGAACAGCAACAAAACACGGTTTCATGCCAAAGGTGGGGCACGCCGCTTCCCAGAGCCCGTTTCCTGCCAGGCCTAAGTACTGACCCTGGGGTTCTGGCCCCTAGCTGGTGTGTGTGTGTGTGTGTGTGTGTGTGTGTGTCTGTGTGTGTGTGATGTCAAGCACATAAGGGCACTCGGGCATGCATGGCCTTCTACGTGCATCCTGGAAGGGTGGAGAGGCATGCGACAATTCTGTCAGACACTCAGGGAGACACTGAAATTAATAAGAGAGCCACATGTACGCACACACACACACACACACACACACATCTGCACCCACCCCATATTCAACACACACACATACACACACATAGTGACATACACATACACTCACACACACACAC